TTTGAGACTACTCGAGCAGATGATTATTAAGCACTACACACTCGCTCTCTATACTTCTTAAGCGGCTTCTCATGGTCTAGAACGGCCATAACAATTTAATATTATTTACTGCTGGGAGTAAAGAAACGTAGCTTATAAAGTAGGCTCTTATAAGGCCACTCCTAAATAGGATGATGATGCTAAGATATTGTGCCAGCGCGCGAGCAATACTCATGATATGGTCTACGCACTGGGCTCTAGTCTCGGGATAGTCCCAGAGCATAATCTTCATGCGTGCTTGAACGGCTTTCCTCAAGAAGCTGGTAGTTTAACGTCTTACTGAACGGCACTCTCACAGAGAATCGAACCCTGGTTCCCCGCCTGGCGAGTGAGAATGATAACTATATAAACAACCAATTAATTAGGCCAAGTTGATTTGATCAATCAATATAACGGAGAACAGTATTTGATTAGTCTGTTAAGAGGAGAGCAATAACCAATTAATTGAAAGACCCTGTTGTTTTCTATCGTAGGAGAGGAACCATGTCCCATGTGGGAGCCTCACGCCCACATCCGCGAAGTTTTACTGAGTCTTATTGAGTTTCTAAAAAAGTATATAGACAATGAAGGGACTGTTCACCGCGCCAACTAACTATGAGCAGTTCATGACAGGCGAATTTTTGAACACACCACAGTTCCTTGTCCAGTCGTATATATACGAGTTTATTGGCACTAAAGAAAATTACATTAAATTTGTAAATGCTGTATATACTCTCTTGAACGACCAGATAAAAAATGAAAAGTCTACAAAAGAGAATAAAGCAAGGAGCAATGAACTGCTTGGGGGCTGTTTATAGAAGAAAGTTCACAGTTAAGTATAATCAATCATACAAAGAATATTTGTGATCTCAATGAGATAATAGATAAGTATCGAGTGTGCCCCTTTATTAACAAAACAGAACTACCTGCGTATACTCGTGTGAAGGCATATGATAGAGCAACTGGGGAAGAAATAGATGTTGAAACCCGAAAGTACACGAACTGCGTGGAAGCAGGTATACTAGGACTGGTATGCTGTTTAGTGTATGATCCCGTGGAAAAGAAGTACAGCGCAGATCATTTACCAGACCAAAAAGAAACTATGCCACTGAAACAATTCTTCCGAGATTACTCCAAACCAAGAGAAACTACTAGCTATGAAATGTAGCAGGATTGGTGCAAAGTAGTAGCAGATTTGAAGAATAAAAAGATTGTTTACGAAAAGAAAGGAAATAATGAGGAAAAAACTAATGAACTGGACAGCAGTTTGTTGAATATTCTCTATGTTGTGTCAGATATAACTGGAAACAAAGAAAAAGTGCTTGATGAGATTGAGAAAATAGAAATCATGTGCAGTAATAAAGAACCTGGGACGTTGCTTAATGTGCAGAAAAGTCTAACTGAAATATTTACTGCGCTGTCAAACAATAATAGCCTTGAAGTAAAGTGTGAAAGCTTTAAAGTAGGCAATAGAGAAGAAAAAAGGCCAGGCTTATTTGGCAACTTTAGCATAGTTTACAGATTTGGAGAGATAGAAGCTGGAATATCATTGGATATAAAGGATGAGCACACTAAATTAGATATAACCCGAAATTCACTATCCAAGCAGTATAAAGAAGCTATTAAACCGAAACTCACTGAAATAAAGAGTATATATAAAATCCCAAAAGGGTATACAGAATGTGTAATTAGAAACTATATGGACATAAAAAGGGATGCAATGAGGAGTATTCAATCATATCAATTAAAGAAACTTAAAAAGACAATTTTAGATATTATCAGTGCAGGTAGCAGTGATGCGTTTAGGCTATTCCTTTATGGAAATATTGAGTCAACTGAGTGCAAGGAATGTATTGTTATAACCTTTTTATTTTTTTACATTGCAAATCCTCAAAATGAAAACTCACTTAGCCGAATGACCAACAATGTTATAGGAAGTGTTCCACTGGACGATCTGATTATAGAAAAAAAGATACTTTATGGCTTTATTTGTAACAAAGATGCCCGAAATTATTATAGAAACATTGAGGCGGGCATCTGGGTCGATGTTTTTACAGACAAATGCTGTGCATATACATCATTCTATGAGTCATTTTACGATTCATTATCTTTATATTTTTCTGGCATGCGATTTGATCTTATAACTTGTATTAACAGGTTAATGAAAATAATAAGTGGTGCTAAAAATGCATATGCCAGTATTATAAAAAATAATTATTTATTTGCTAGTATAATACTCAGAGGATTTAAAGAAACAGAAAATCCGAGAATTATAGTGTTTAAGCAGATAATGGGTAGTGTAAAAGAGCTATGCAAAGAAATGGATGAGAAACAGGTAACAGGTATTTATATATCATGGATTTGGGCTGTGTGTTTTAATATGGCTGCTATTAAGCACGAAACAAGAAACCTGGATCAATTGTTAGTGTATTTATTTAATGTTATAGAAGACAGCAAATATATTACATTAACGAAAGAAAAAAGATATAAGTCAGATTCAGAAGAGGCTGATAAGGTATTAGAATGTTTAGAGAGTAGAAGAAAGCAAATCTGTTCTAATGGAGAAAATACTCAAAAGTATAATAAGATTATACAAATATTTAAAAACGAAAAATCCAGGAGCTAAAAGCATTAATTTTCTATAACTCCTCTATGCACCTAGAGAAGCAGCTTATTGTGTATTGTAAGAAGTGAGCGTGGTGCCAGAGAAACTATTGGCAGGGTTTACTCATATTTTATGTGAATAAACTGCTTTTTATTCAAAATACTTAAAGCCAAAGTAGCCGTAGAAGAGCAATAATATAATAAACAGGGAATTATATTATATGCAGCCAGCAGGAATCTATATTAACACTAGTTTAATAAAATTCTATTTTGGGTTATTTATTGGCAATATTAAATATTTATTCTTACAGCATTTAAAAACAAATTATAAAGTGTGCTATACACTAGTATAATATAAATAAATGTAAATATAGCAATAGGAAAAAAGACAGTAACAAAATACAACAAAACATAGCAGGATTAAAAATATGGACAAGAAATAAAGGCAGTGCAGGTGCATAGTAAATGAATAATTAAGATTCATACCCCGAATTACCAGCAGTTTAAGCGTGTACTGTTGACCACTTCCATACACAGCAGTGCGTAACCGCATACTTGGGTGGCTATGCAAAAAGACCGGAATGTTTTGGTAAGCGATTATTCGGGTTATATCGAGTATATCAAGAAGAACCGATTTTTTAGTTTAAAACAGCTTATTAATCTAATGTTTGGACGAAGTCAAATGGGTGGCTGTTAAATACCACTAACCCCCTTCCCTATACTTCCTAGGCCGTTCCCAATATTCTAGGGTGGCTGTAACAAGCTAATGTCTTTGACTGCTGGGGATTGGATATATATTTATATAAGAGCAAATAAATAAACTTAAAATAAATTGTATAATAATATTTTTATTAGTGTACGTGTTACATATTGAATTGTTATACCTTCTATATAAACAGAATAATAAAAAAAAGAGAAAAGAAAAGGAAAAGAGAGAAGAGAGAAGAGAAGAGAAAGGAGAAAGGGGGAATGGGTAGAGAAAGGAGAGGGAAGGGAAGAGAAAGGAGGAGACTAAACAGGAAGAGAACAAATAAGGAGATATAACTCGAAGTGTGTATTAAAGAGTGTGGCAGTATATTTAATTCAAAGAGCCAATCTTATTGTAGTATAACTGGAATAAATTAGATGAGCATTTAAATAGGAGATAGTATGAATTGCAATAAGTAACCAATCAAAGAATAGTTCGTGTTATATATGCAATCAGGCACGCCCATAAGTGTTTATTATACATTAACCAATCAATAGTAAAGATAGCACGGAGTTATTAAAAACAAAATATATATATCTTTAAATTTATTTCTAGGATGAACAATAGTATGATTATAAAGCTACTAGTGATGATGTACACGATATGTGCAAGAGTTGAGTTGAGTGATATAAAGATAATAGAAGAAACCAAAATTATTAGTAAAGAAGGCAACTTGGTAATAAATCCAGATGGATCACTTAGTCCATCCAGAGCAGACATTATGCGCAAGTGCGAATATATACATAACAAACGATTATATGCATACGAAATAAACACGATGTATAATTTGAAAAAAACATATAAACAAGGCAGATTATTTTATGAATACGAAAGAAAGCCAGTCAATGACAAAGCGTATACAAATATATGCAAATCACCAGCATTT